GAGTTTTCATGTGAACATATATTTCCAACTCCCTTGAGTATACACCTAGGAATAGAACTTCTGGGTCATTTGTTAACAGAACCTCTGGGTGATTTGAGAACTTTGTTTACAGTTTTTAGGAACTACCAAACTGTTTTCCAAAGCAGCTGTACAATTTTTATATCTCACCAGCAGCTACAGTGAACATTAATATGTACAAAACTCGATGTATGAGCTCTGGGGACCTAGTGGCAAGAAGTTGTGCTGCAATCCCAAAGGCATGCAGTTTGAAACCACCAGCTGCTCCACAGGAGAAGGATGGGCAATCTCCTCCTGTGCTATTAACTGCCTCTGAAAACCTGCCAGAGGGTCATCTATGGGTCGGTTTTGTGTTGTTTTTATTTTATTTTATTATTTTTATGTGAGTGTACCGTCAAATCAGATCTGACTGGTACAGGAGGAGATTGTCCCTCCTTCCCCGGCAGAGCATCTGGTGGATTCGAACCGTGCGCCTCTGGGATTGTGGTTGCAGCTCCTTGCCACTAGACCACCAGAGCTCCCCATAAGGTTGTGGTTGGTTGTTTTGTTTTTTTAAATTTTATTATTTTTGGTTTTGATTCTATGGTATATAACAACAACAAGAAGAGGTTTTCCATATCTGTGAGAACATTTGTTGTTGTCTTTTTTATTATCGTCATTCTAGTGCATGTGAAGTGGTACCTTATTGTGGTTCTTATTTGCATTTTTGAAAAAGCTAATGATGCTGGACAACTTTTCATGTCTTATTGACCTTTTGTTTTTCTTCGGGAATAGGTCGACTCATACCTGTTGTCCAATTTTGACTGGCTGCTTTCCCCCCCGCCCCCATTGAGTTGTGAAAGACTGTTATCTACTCAGTACACAAGATTTTTAGATATTATTGGTGGTCTTATGCAGTGTTTGTCCTTATGAGACTGTGTTAGTTCACTCACCATTATGTTCTCCCAAATTACATAGTATTTTTCAAAATCAGTGCTCCTGAGTGCTGTATAGTATTCCACTGGAGAATGTACCACAATTTCTCAATCCATTCAGTTATGGCTGGACATTTGGGCTATTTCCATGTTCTTGCAATAGTGCTGCTATGAACACTGGTGTACAAAATACCGCATAAGACTATTATTGTAAAAATAGATGGATAATTAGTAAAACATGTACAGGAACTCAAGGGGGAGAGGGAGGCGTGGAGGGGTGAGGATAGGTAGAGGTGAAACCACAGGGCTGCACAGTTTGGTAGGTGGAAGGAGGGAGAAAAGCAAATGAGAAAAATCTGGGTGTAAAGACAGGGTAATAATGGGCTAGGTCCAATGGTGATTATTAATGTTATAAAACATAATGCATGGGAATGATTGTATGAAACACAATGTCAATGAAAAATAATATGAAACACAATATATAAACTGTAAGAAAATAAATTTTAAAAAATAATGTAAAATAATATATATGAATGTATGAAACAGAAGGTAAATGAAAGATGGTATAAAACACATTGTATATAAACAAAACATAAAGTAAAGGGATTATTATGTGAAAAACCAATACAAAATACTTTTTAAATGCTAAAAAATGTTTTGAGGTAGCTCTGGTGGCCTAGTGGCAAGAAGCTGAAGTGCAATCCCAGAGGTACGCAGTTTGAATCCACCAGATGCTCTGCTGGAGATGGAAGGGCAATCTGCTCCTGTACCAATCAGATCCGTTTGACGGTACACACACAAAAATAATAAAATAAAGAGCCTGTGGTTCGCCACGCCCTGTGCAAACAAAGGCCGGTCTGTGCAAAAAAAAAAAAGTAAATAAAATTATATATAAAAAGGTCTGTTTTGGAAAGGCTGAAACCAAGTCTTTCCTTGGAGACGAGGATTTTGAAGCTCCATCTCGCTTATTTTGGGCACGTGGTCAGGAGAGATCGCTCCTTGGAGAAGGACATCATGCTATGAAGGATGGACGGACAGCACAGGAGAAGGAGACCCCGGATGAGGTGGAATGATACAATAACTGGGGTGATGGGGGTTGGCGTGTCGGAATTAGTGAGACTGGCTCAGGACAGGAAAGAGTTCAGAGCTGTCGTACATAGGGTCGCTATACATCACGGGCAACTCAATGGCACATAACAACAACATATTATGACAGTTTTAGAAGTAAGAGTGGCATCCACTTTCTAAACAACATGCCTCTGGAAACTCTATGAACTTTAATAAATGTCAAAAGTTGTAGAGGGGCTTCAGGCCTTTTGTTCATAGAGTTACTATGTGTCGTGCTTGATTTGAAGGCAATCAACACCACCACCACAATGAAAACGCACTAGGGAAAAGTCACGGACAGTAATAATTATCCACATAAAACTACTGAATTAAAAAAAGTCATTGCAACTGAGGTCAGGCCAGGATTTTTGCAGCCATTGGTAGTAGGAATGAGTCATATGTACAACAGGCTGATCTCGAAGATTTCTGTTTACTCTGAAGTTTTATGATTAAATAAGTCTTTATGCTTTGTTGTTATGTGCCATCAAGTCACCTGCAACTCATGGCGACCCTATGTACAACAGCCCTAAACCCTGCTCTATACTGTGCCAATCGCACTGTCTCTGACACACTTATCCCTATTAACCCAGTAACTGAACCAGTCCATCTCATCAAGGATTTTCCTCTTGTGCTGTACCTCCACCTTACCAAGCATGACGTCCCTCTCCAAGTCCTGATCCCTCCTTGCAACATTTCCAAAGTATGTCAGATGAAGCTTCAGAATCCTTGCCTCCAAGGAGCAGTCTGGTCTCATCCTCTCTATGACGAACCTGTTTGTTTCCCTAGAAGTCCGCTCTTCTCCAGCACCACAGCTCAAAGGCATCAATTCTCCTTCTATCATCCCTAGTCATCCAGCTTTCTGATGCATAGCAAGTAATTGCAAAAACTATGGCCTGGATCAGGCACACCTTAGTCTCCAGACTGACATCGTTGCTCTTCAGTACTTTGGAGACATCTCTTGACAGCAGATTTTCCTGGCTGTCGGTACCAAGATTGTTGATTGTAGAGCCAAGCAAACTAAAGCTGTTAGCAATTTCAATCTCTTCCTCATCTATCATAATGTTGCCAATTCGCCTAGTGGTGAGAATCTGTTTTCTTGATGTTGAGCTTCAACCCATATTCAATTATGCTTTACCAACAGCAAAAAAGCAAGAGTGATGAAGTAAGTATTAGGACAAAAGGAAGACCCAACTACTTACAGAAATCCTTCTAAGTCTGGGGGATGGATTCTCCGGAGGTTTCTACCCAATTAATCAATGACAGAAACAGACACGCCATTTTCAAACACTCATTGCTGAGAAGTCAGAACTGAGCCATTGCTGACCTTCCACAGGGTGTCCATCTCAGGAGGCTGTAAATCTCAAGGCAGAAGAGTGTCTACCTTTCCTGTGAGTTGCTAGTGGAGTCAAACGAAGCTCCAGAGACTTAGCCTTTGTGTTAGCGCCCAGCTCCCCGTGGACCATGCCTCCAGGGCACCTTGACATGCTCGTACTCGTATTTTTTTTTTAAAAAGTAACATCTCTTATTGGCAGCTCCAGCACTACTTTTCTTAAATTGGAAGCATAAATACAACTATAAAAATATGAGCTCTTTCCTTCATCTTAGATAAACCAGAGTTATGTCATCTTAAACTGAGACCACTAATACTATAACGATTCATGTTCCTCTATCATTCATAGCATTTTCCAGGAAAGGCTAGCCCTTGGAGAGGGACATCATGCTTGGGAAGGTAAAGGGACAGCAAAAGAGAGGAAGTCCCTCAACCAGGTGGACTGACAGTGACTGCAGCAATGAGCTCAAATGTGGCAGACTGTGAGGATGGCACAGGATACAACAGGGTTGAGATCTGTTGTTCATAGAATTGCTGAGTCATATTTGACGACTCCTAATGACAATTTACAAACTAAGACCCTCTCCAGAGACTATCTACATGCACACATAATTATTTTGCCTCTAAATGGACAATTTGCCTAGAGAAAATATTCAGAGATTCACAAAAAGCACCAAATATTGATGTCATCACCTTTATCTTGCTACCTTCAACACCAAACAATTTACTGACTTCATAGGTCACAGAACAAGTAAGTAAACTGGGATAAACGAGACATTAATAACAAATATTAATATAAAGTGTGATTTTAATAAGAAATACAGAAATGCACACGTAGTATTAAGTATTTTATTTATAATTTAGCATATACAAATTATGTTTAAAAAAGAACCTATATTAATAGCTAAATGTTCAGGGCTTCATACTAAAATTCTTGCCAAAGTGGCACCTTTGTACAATGAAACCTGAGAGCTGGAACTCAGTGGGACTCCCTTGCCAATTTTCTACCTTTGACAGTGTTAAGTCTTACCACTTGTTAAATTGGTTTTTTTGTCAAAAATACTTTCCCCCCTTCTCTTACAGGTTTCCATCTCACACAGGCTTTTGTAGGATTCACTGTATTTCTAAAAAAATTACCTTGAGAATAATGTCTTTAGTGCCCTCTGGTGACACTTTATGAGACTGGGTAGATGAAAAAGGTAAGGACGGCCCCAGAGACCATTAATGAATAAAATGTAATAGCAGAATGTGACAGGTTGTGATTTGCCACCTTTCCCTCGACCTCAGAGCAAAACAACCTGAGGGAAGGTACTCTACCCCCAACACACCCCACCAGGCTCACAGGAAAAACACTTCCTTCCTAAGTTTTTATTATCATCATCTTTAAAACAAAGCCAAAAACAAAACAAAAACTGTCAATATAAGCAAGAGAAATAATATAGAGGGGAAAAACCCTAAGTAAATTCGGTTATATTACAGAAGAAACCCCAGGAAAAGGTTAACAGGACAGTTTAGGGAGCAATTTAAACTTTCTCAGTAGCCTCTTTTTCTGTCTTCCACTTGTAGGGGAAGATCATTCTCTGGGGTTTCAGGAAGCAGAGTTCAGGTGGGGCTATTTTCTAAGGCAGACATCAACAGAGTCGAAGTTCATTCTCCAATCCAAACAACTTGGACTTAAGGTTCTTCAGTTCTCCTTGAATCTTATGTGCCCGTTTATTGCTGTCACGGACCTCACACAGCATGGCAAGGTCCTGGTCTGTCTGGACTTTAAGTGTGGTCTAGAAGTTGAGGGGGGAAAGAAACAAAAGGAGAAATGATTATAGCATATAACAGAGGAGGCACGTGCATATCTGCTGGTCCTTTTTTATGAACTCAACCTTGAGCTTGTTAAAATTCACTGAATAAGTTTTAAAAAAAAAAATACTGAATTCAAGCAGAAAAGGTATAGAGTTCTTTGTTTTCCTCCTAAATAGTAAAGGAACTTTGAAACAGAGATTAATAAGAAAAAGGGTAAAAAAAAAAAGTAATGTTAAAAATATTATGGTAAATTTGCCAAAGAGAAGACACTGTCTTCTTTTCTCTAATTAATCTTGTGAGGAATCTAGTGATCATTTAGGATATGGGCTGACTCGTTAAATATCTTTTAGAAGACTTCTGATTCTAAGTAAAGCTGCATTTGATTAAGAAAATGGCTTTATTACTTACTCACTTTCCTCATTTGTAAAACAGACATAATTCTTCAATCCTACTTCTTGAAATAGGAGGGATGTTAATTGCTGTCAGCTTAGATGGAGTGAAACTTTTAACTCAGCTCTTAATTCTTTCTATTTTTCTCTAGTGTGTAATTTTTACTGAAAGTTAGAGGAAGCTGATTCATTAGAACAGTACCTAGCATTGGGGGAAACAGTGCTTTCTTCTGAGGAAGACTCTTCATGACTATTTACTGATTTCCCTCCCTTTTTTACCCTTTTCCGTAAGTTAGAATCAGCAGTTACCTTATATAGCATTTGTTCCAAGTCTTTAAGTTTCTGCCGGAGACTTCTAATATCTGTCTTAAAGCCTTCTACTTCCAAGATACGCCTGTTCTCCAGGGCCTCGTAGCGTTTTGTCATTACTTGCAAACGCCTCCCCATCTTGTTAGTGCGATCCTAAATATGCAGAAATGGAAGGGCATTTATGAAGATGAGGAAGGCAGTGGCCTGAGCTATCTATACCTCCCATTCCAGCCTGAGTGACAGAGAATTTTGAACCTTGAAGATCTCTCTTCTCATGCCTTCTTCCTCACGAATCCGGGCAAGTTCTTCTTCCAGAGCAATGCACTGTTCTTGGTACATACTGGACAGTTTTTTCTCTTGTACTAACTTATCTTTCAGGATCTGCAGGCCAAAGAGGGAGAGGGGGAACAAAGCACAAAACCACACTATCAGTTCTATAATGTAAGTTAATTCAAATAGCACTTTAATAAAGAAAAGATACGATTTCCAGAAATACACAATGAATTAAGGAGAAAACAGTAAGGAAGTTATCTGGAGATTTCTTTTCTTGGGGAGTGCAAGAGAGGATACTTCTTAGTACATGAAAGAAATACTTTAAAATCAGACAAGAATTTTTGGCTCCATGAAGAGTCCAAAATTTGTACTAAGTAAGATATCAAAATATATTATTTTGGGACACATTTCTGAAAATAAAAATTATCAGCAACATTTATTATCTATGCTCCACTGAGCGGACAGAATGATCTTTTAAAAGATTAAATCACATCATGCCATGTCTTTGCAAAAGTTCCTTACTATGACTGAAAGGCCCTCTGTGATTGGCCGCTGTCTATCATATGCCATCTCCTCTTTGCTTAGTCCTCTGTAACCAACCTAACATCCTTCCTGTGCCTTTAATATACCCCAGACCCTTTAAACGGGCTTTCCCCTGTCTGGATGCTCTTCCACTAGGCATGCAGATAAGCTTAAGGTCTTGGTAAAACACCACTACTTAAGACTTACTAAGAGTGTTCTCATTCTACCTGTCTGAAAGTTAGTGTCTGGCAACGACTTTTCTTCATATAATCCTGTTTATTCCTTTGACATCACTTCTTTTGCACCCTGTAATTTTCTTATAGGCTAATGTTCAAACATGCTTTCTGGCCTATTAAAATGCAAACTCCATGATAGCAGATCGTGTCTAGCTTATTTCTGCTGTAGCCTAAAGAATACAAGAAATATTTGTTGAATGAATAAACGAGAAACTGAATTTTCTAAATCTCCACACACTGTGACTCTGATACTTATTTTTTGAGGTTGCTGCTATAAAAGCTTAGAACAAAGGGATCAGGTATGAAAATTCTTATGTCCTTTGAAATTCCTATTTCGTTCAACTCTTCTGGGGGTGGGGAGGGAAGAGGAAGAAACTACCTTGATATATTCATTTTGTTTATGATGACTCTGATGTCCAACAGGCCAAACTTTTCCAGCTTTGTCTTCTTTCTTTTTACACTGCACTCTGCATTGTTTTATTTTTGATATCAAATAATCCTTTTCAAGCATCCATGAGTTTTCCTTGTGTTGGTTTTCAAGTCTGAGTTGTAAAAAGTCTTTGGTGCTTTCATACAGCAAATCTTGGGTGTGATGGAGACTATGAGAGAAAGTTCAGAGGTGAGCATGAATACGCTGACACAACACATCTCATTCACAAGATAATTCCAAACAAAAGAAGACAGAGGTTCTTCTAAAACTGTGTACTACATAAATTCTGTAAAATATTATTGGCACTTTGAAAAAGATATCTGGTCAGATCACTTTCAATCTTCTAGGATAACTGGGTTTTTACTAGGTTTTACCCAGAAACTATATGGTTCCAATGAAGAGCGAACCAAGGTGTTCTGACTGAGGGTCAACACCAAGTTCTAAAATGTCAAAACAGTTTTGCTTTTGTGAATGCTGTGCTCCATGTATGATTTATTCTAAATCAAATCTTATCATTTCCTTCTTTCAAGACCAAAGCCTTCTATGAAATCATCCTGACCACTTCAGCCCATTTTAACTTCTTCATTCTCTGACATTAAAAGATGGAAGAAGTTCACTGAATAACTATACCAGAAAGAATTGGCCGACAAATTGTCATGAAACTACATGTGATCAAGAGGCGATGGTGATGAAAAAGTTCAAGCTGATCTGAAGAAAAAAGCAAAAAACAAGACCCCAGATACCAACTGATATATTTCAGCAAACAGATACTGCCCTAGATGTCCTCACCAGGTTGTGCCAAGAAATCTGGAGAACAACTACCTGGCTAACAGATTGGATTGGAAGAGATCATATTTATTCCCATTCCAAAAAAAAAAGAGACCCGACACAGTGTGGAAATTATCGGACGATATCACTAATATGACACGTAAGCAAAATTTTGCTGAATGAATGAAAACCCAACTCTTCTGTAAACTTTCATTAAAATCACAATAAAAAAGAAAAGATTATACAAAAATGAATGGAATAGCACATTAACAGAAAACTGCCAGAAGTGCAGGCTGGGTTTAGAACAGGTACTAGGGATATTATAGCTAAAGTTAGATGGATCTTGGCTGAAAGCAGAAAGTACCAGAGGAATGTCTGTGTTTTATTGACTATGCAACGGCATTTGACTCTATAGATCACAAGAAATTGTGGAGAACCTTGAAAAGAATGGGAACCCCAGTACAGTTGACTGTGCTCATGCAAAACCTATACTTGGACAAGGAAGAAGCTGTTAGAACAGAGCAAGGCAACACTGCAAATCAAGAAAGGAGTGGATCAGGGATGCATCTCGTCTCCATACCTTTTCAATCTGTATGTGGAACAGATCATTTGGAAGGCTGGACTTTATGAGGAGGAATGTGGCATCAGAATTGGATAAAGACTCATCAACAACCTACATTATACAGATGATACAACCCTGCTCGCTGAAACTGAAGAGATCTGAAGGGTTTGCTGCAAAAGATAAAGGACTGTAGTTTTCAATATATATTAAAGCTCAAAATCAAGAAAACAAAGATTCTCACCACTGGGCCAATTGGCCAAACCATGATAGATGGAGAAGAGATTGAGATTGTTAACAATTTCAGCTTCCTCAGTTCCACAATCAACACTCTGGGCAGCAGCAGTCAGGAAATCAGAAGACAAACTGCACTGGGGAAATCTGCTGCCAGAGACCTCTTCAAAGTGCTAAAGAGCAACAGGGTCCCTCTACAGACTAAGGTGCACCTTATTTATGACTTGGTCTTTGCAATTACTTGCTATGAGTCAAAGAGCTGGACAATGACCAAGGATAAAGGAAGAAGAATCAATGCCTCTGAATTGTGGTGCTGGAGAAGAGTATTGAACATACCATGGGCTGCCAAGAGAACAAAGATGTCTGTACTGTTGTTGTTGTTATGTGCCATCGAGTTGCATGCAACTCATAATGACCCTATGTACAACAGCTCTAAACTCTGCTCTGTCCTGTGCCAATCTCATCGTCTCTGACACACTCATCCCGATTGCCCCAGTCACTGAATCAATCCACCTCCCAGAGGGCCTTCCCCTCCTGCACCTGCCCTTCACCCTCCCAAGCATGATGTCCTTCTCCAAGGACCGGTCTCTCCTTACATCATGACCAAAGTATGTCAGATGAAGCCTCAGAATCCTGGCCTCCAAGGAGCAGCCTGGTTTAAGCCTCTCCAGGATGAATCTGTTTGTTTTCTTTGCAGTCCATGGCACTCTCAGCACTCTTCTCCAACACCAAAGCTCAAAAGCATCAATTCTCCTTCTATCCTCCCTGGTCATTGTCCAGCTCTCTGACACATAACAAGTGATTGCAAAGACCATGGCCTATACCAGATGCACCTTCGTCTCCAGAGACACACTGTTGCTCTTCATGTCTGTGCTAGACAGGGTGAAATGAAGCTGCAACTTAGAGGTAAGGATTTTGAAGCTCCATTTAACATACTTTGGACATGTGGCCAGAAGGAGCCAGTCCATGAAGAAAGTCATCATGCTTAGCAAGTCAGAGGGACAGCGCAAGAGAGGAAGACCCTAGATAAGCTGGATTGACACAGTACCTGGGCAATGGGGTAGGTGTGTTGGGAGACAGTGAGACTGGTTCAAGATAGGGTGGAGTTCAGAGCTATTGTACAGAGGGTTGTTTACAGCACATAACAACAATAATAACAGTCTCTGAAACCCTCTAAATGAATTATAATCTATATTACATAACTCAGAACTTGCTTATATACTATGTCAGGTTCTAACTGTCAACATGTGTGTTCTCCTGAGCTGACTAAAAGGATCTGTATCTTAAGTTTTCATTCATTTTCCCATCATTATTATCCGACTGTCAAGGACAGTACCAACCACTTGATATATAGAAGGCACTGAAGAGATTCCTGCTATTTCTTGAAATTTAGGAACAGATAAACAATTTTTCAAAATATTTTCAAAGAAGACTATATCTAGAAGTTAGCAATTCATCATTGTAACATAAACAGCTAGGAAAATATTGTAATGCTTATAAAATTACTACATACCATGAAACAGTTTCTATGGTTTTTCTAAGCAACAAGTAATGTCAGATCCATTTAATCCTTTTTATAAGTGAGAGAGTATACAGATAAGGGAGAAATGATATCATGCTGCTTGGCACAAAGAATACATATCATCAGATAAATATGTATACTTATTCAGGTATATGTGTACATATAAGGAGAGTGAAACTGCTTCAGTTACCACAAAAATATCAAAATATCTCCTGCTTTCAATGAGTTATTTTATTCTGTCTCACATTATGTTCTCTATTACAATCTTTAAAAGCATAGTCTTGTTAATGTACAAATGGCTTGAATGTAACACACAAAGGGCAGTTGTTAATGGCCTTGGACTCCATGCTACTCAATATCCTTAGGATGATCTACTTAATAGAAGGCATGAGTTATATGCTCAAATATGCAGATGGTGCGAAATTAGGGTGTTATTAAAATTCTGGAAGGCAGAGATAAAATTACAAATGACTATAGAAATTTAGAATACTAGTCCTCTGAAAACAATTAAAATCAGTCAAAAATCAAGATGCTATGCTTGAGTACAAAATTTAAAAAAAGCAACAAAACACAGAGAAACTGTTGTTGTGATCCTCCGGCCCGAACTGACCCATAGCTGACCCTCCAGCGGGTTTTCAGAGGCAGTTAATCACATGGCAGTAGATCGCCCATTCTTCTAGCAAAATAAAAACATATCTTCAAGTGTTCAGTGAATGTTTATTGCGGGCCTGTGCTCTAGGGAGGGCAGAGTTGGGAACAAAGACATACTTATTAGACAGTGATTGTTATTAGAGAGGCACCTAATCACTCTGGGGATGTGGAAGATGAAGAATTTGCCTGGGAAAATCTCAAAGCAGGGGTGACAGGCAGTGTGGATCCTGGGGCCTGCCATAAACAACCGTTATTATTTGTCTGGCTAAAGCATAACGTTAACTACATCACAGGGCAATAGGACTTGAGACTGTAAAGTTAATTTGCTGCCAGATGAGGAGTTCCTAATAGCTCAGGCTCAAATATTAGGATAAGGTGAATAGGGAGCTACCACTGTTTTTAAGCCTTAGTAATTCCTGGTGTGACGGCTGTCTCATAGCAGTTAGAAAGGCTGTAAAAGACCAGACATAGAACAGTTAGATCACCAATAACAAAAGGATAGAGCTGCAACAATTAGCAAGAACAAGAGAACAGAGAATGGATTTAAGAGGCTTCTCAAGCACACACTTGGTAAGATTTGGAATTGGGAAATAAGAGAGTGGGAAGGTGAGGATGACTCTGAGGTTTCAAGCTTGGAAACCAGGTGAATGTGATGTTTTAAATTAAATGGAAAATAGAAGGAAGTAGTAGGTTTGTGGGAGCTCCGGTGGCGAAGTCAGTAGGCAGCTGTGCTGCTCACCCACACCTCACTGGTGGTTTGAATTCACCAGGAGCTCCATGGCAGAAAGATGGACCATCTTCTCCCAAGCAATTTAAAGCCCTGGAAATCCTAAGGAGAGTAAGCTATGAGTTGGTTCCAAGGCAATGACAACGAGACACGAGACAGTGAGTAATAGGGTTGAGATGAGGAACAGGAATATTTGCTGGGGGAGAGAAAAAAAAAATTCATTTCAGTCATGACACATTTAAAGTGTTCAAGCACAAAGCTAGGGCTGCATAATGGAACCAGCTGGAATCTGGGGAGGGCCAGGGAGGCAGAGGAATAAAAAAAGAAAGGTAGTACAGAATCAAGAAGATGAATTTAAAAGAAGGGGTGTTTAGTGGTCTCAAATATACAGGGAGCTACCAACCATAACAAGGACTGAAAGGGTATCTGGTCTTAGAAATTAAGAAGTCAGTAATGAAAAGGAAAAAAAAAGTCAGTAATGACCTAAAAAAGGGCACATTTAATAAAATGGTTGGGTGAAATAAGACTCCAGAAAGTTGAGCAATGGCAGGTGCTATACAACAGTGATTATATTATAGAGAGTCCACATTTTCCTTTTTTGTGTGTAAGTATACAGAGACATATTTTTCTGTATTCATAGAAGGCCAAACAAAAGGTTCTATCACATTAAGTCACAGCCATACATCTCCATGGGTAAAAGCACATTTGTTCCCCATAAGAATGAAGCTAAAACTAAAGCAAGTAGGTTAAAAGGACTGTGTGGAATGCCCACCAGATCTTCAAGAAGAGACTTAACAGCAGTCTTGGATAAAACCTCAACACTCACCTACACAGGGATGCCTGAAGAAGACAATGTTTTCTATGTCCCTTTCAGTACAAGACTGTTAACTAGTAAAAGCTTACACAGAAAATTAGGTTCCCATTTAACAATCCACACACAACTTGTTCAGCCACACTGGCTATACACTGTACACTATCTCAACTTTCTCGTTATTTTCAACCTGGTTGCTCAGAAGAATCAGCAGTAGTACCTAGGCACCATTCAGCTCTTTCTTGTGTGAGGGTACTGGTAACTTTCAAGTCGCTCAGAAAAAATTTTTTTGATCAAGCTTCACCACTTACCTTTTGGTTAGCTCTTTGACTTTTTCCTGATTTCTCTGGTGCTGGACTTGTATTTCCTCAATACGTATCCGTCTGTCTTCCATGAGTCCTTCAACTTGTTCTCTAGAATGCTTGGCCTGTTCTTCCAGCTGAGCCTGTAGCGCCTCCACCTAGAGAGAACAACAAGGGCAGGTTTGCACACTGCTCCTATTTCTGACCTGCAGATGTGACCTCTGAAAATGATGTTCTCCAGACAATTTAAAACCAAATCAACCACGATGGCAAAATAAACAGTAGAAAATCTTAACTGTGCTTTCTTTACCTTACAGGGTTGTTGTGGTGGTGGTAGGTGCTTCTGAGTTGAGTACCACTCATGGCGACCCTACAAACAACAGATCTGAATCCTGTCCTATCTTGTGCCTTCCTCACCATCTCCAATACATCTGCGCCCATTGCTGTAGTCACCATGTCTAACCATCTCAACAGGGGTCTTCTTCTCTTTCATTGACCCACCACCCTTCTAAGTGTGATATTCTTTTCAAAGGAATAGCCTTTCCTAAAAACATGTCCAAAATATGAGAAATGAAGCTTCTGCCATTTTTTAAGAAGCCTTCTGGTTGCACCTTTTTCAAGACATATCTATTTGTTCTTCTGGCAATCCATGGGATATTCAGTACTGTTCTCCAACATCACAACTCAAAGGCATCAAATTCTTCTTCTGTCATCCTTATTCAATGTCCAGCTCTTAGATACATAGCAAGTGATTGAAAAGACCATGGCCTGAATTAGGTACATATTAGTCTTCAAACTGCCATCACTGCTTTTCAGTATTTTGGAGAGATCTCTGATGGTGGACTTGCCCAAAGCAGTACTTCTCCTTATCTCCTGACTGCTGGTACCAGGGGTGTTGATGGTGGATCCAAGCAAGATGAAATCATTAACTGTTTCAATCCTTTCTCCATCTATCATGATGTTGCCCACTGGCTCAGCGTTGAGGACCTTTGTCTTTCTGATGTTAACATGAAATCTATTTTGAAGACTGTAGTCTTTGATCTTTTGCAAGAAGTACTTCAGGTCCTCTTCGCTTTCTACAAGCAAGTTTGTGTCATCTGCATAGCATGGGTCGTTGATGACCCTGTTGTCACAATCTTTCTCATAGAGTTCAGCTTCACAAATTATTTGCTCAGCATACAGACTGACAAGGTATGGATAAAGGATACACTCCAATATACATCCTTCCCAACACTTCCTAAGTGTTCCCTGTTCCATTTGGACAACAGCTTTTTTGTCTAGGTATTGATTTTGCATCAGCACAATTAAGCATTCTGGGATTCCCATTCTTCTCAATTGTAGCCATAGTTTGTTGTTATCCACCGAATCAAATGCCTCTGCACAGTCAATAAAACACAGACATTCTTCTGATATTCTCTGTTTTCAGCCAGGTTCCATCTGATATCAAAGTAAACTCTATCCAGGATAAGCCCAGCATCTGTATTAAACAAAGCAAGCTATGAAAGACAGCTTTGTCTACTGTGGAATTCTCACCTTTCCACTATTTGCCTTTTAGGTATCTCTCCCTTTTAATACTTTCTAGTTGCTACCTGCCCAAGTGATTGAAGAGATACATATTTGTTTCCATTCCCAAAAAAGGTGACCCAACAGAATGCAGAAATTATTTAATAATATCATTAATATCACATGCAAGCAGAATCTAGCTGAAGATTATTTTTTAAATGGCTACAATAGCAGGAGTCGCATCCACTTCCTAAAGAATAAGACTCCAGAAACTCTATGAACTTTGACAAATATTGATAATTGTAGAGGGGCTTCAGGGCTTTTGTTCATAGGGTCACTATGAGTTGTGCTCGACTCAAAGGCAATCAACAATAGTACATTCAGAGAGAACGGCCAGAAACTCAAGCTGGATTTAGAAGAGGACATGGTACCAGTCGTATCATTGCCAATGTCAAATGGATCTATATGATGAAGAATGTGGCATCAGGAGAGGAGGAAGATTCATCAACAACCTGTATTAAGCAGATGACACAGTTTTCCTGGTCAAAGTGAGGAGGGCTTGAAACACTTGCTGTATAAGATCAAAGACTATAGCCTTCAATATGGATTGTATCTCAACATCAAGAAAACAAAAATTGGGGTGTGGAGGTGTGTGTGAAGAAAATGGGAAAGACTCAGTTTGAAAAACAATGTATAAGAACTTTGTAAATAAACCAGCATAAAAGAAAAAAATTTTTTTTCAGTGCAGTATATACAATTTATCCAGTTTTTCTCAGTCTTACCCCCACCCTAATATCAGTCCCATTTTACAGCAGTGGCACCATGCAATATTTGTCCTTTAAAAATTTTTTTAAAAAGAAAATAAAAATCCTCACCAACAGGCCAATAGCCAACATCATGATAGAGAAGAAAAAGTAGTAGTCAATTTCATCTTGTTTGAAGCCACAATTAACACTCTTGTCACCAGCAGTCAGGAAATCAAAAGATGTAGTACACTGGGAAAGTCTGTTGTCAAGGACACCTTCAAAGTGCTGAAGAGCAATGATTACAGTTTGGAGACTAAGGTGTACCTGATCCAAACCATGGTCTTTTCATTTACTTGCTATGCAGCTGAAAGTTGGACAATGAATAAAGAAGACAGAAGAAGAATAGATGCCTTTGAGTTGTTGTGTTAGAGGAGAATACTAAATATTCCATGGACTGCCAAAAGGACAAACAAATATGTCTTGGGAAAGGTGCAGCCAGGGTGCTCCTTGGAAGTAAAGATGGTCAAATTTTAAGTTAAGAGGGGCCAGTGCTTGGAAAAAGACAACGTGCTTGGGAAGATGGAGGATCAGTGAAGGAGGGGAAGATCCTCAATGAGATGGACTGACAAAGTGACTTAAGGGTGGACTTGAGTATATCAGAAATGATGAGGATGGCACAGGATGGGCCAGGGTTCAGATCTAATGTTCATTAGGTTGCTATGAGTCACAGATGACTTGATGGCACTTAACAACAACACTGTTATAAAGAATAAAATGAAAACAAGAAAAAAACCTCTAAGACATCTTTTAGACATGGGACTGAAGCCGTCTCTGGAGACCACTTTTCAGCCGAATAGGAGCATAACATTAAAAACACCTGAGAGGAATGTGTTCTTTAGAGCAATCAGTTACATGAGATGAAAAGGACACCTGCTCAAGAGCAAAGCCAGGAAGAGAGCGAGAGGACACAAGGAACCAGAGGAGGAACAGGAGAGAGTGCTCACACATTGTGAGGAATACAGCCAATGTCATGTAACACTTAACATAGAAATCATCAAATGTGAAATTAATTTGCCCTGTAAATTTTCACCTAAGCACAAAACATTTTCTCTGGCAGAAAAGAAAAACCCATTCCATCTGATAAATGAAATAAATGTACTGTATCAAATGACAACTTTGGACAATGAATAAGGAAGACAGAGGAATGCCTTTGAGTTGTGGGGTTGGAGAAGAGAACTGAATACCCTGTAGATGGCCAAAAGGACAAAGAGGTCTTGGGAAAGGTGCAGCTAGGGTGCTCCTTGCAGAAGAGGATGGTGAAAGTTTGTCTCACATTCTTTGGACTTAGGAGGGGCTAGACTTTGGAAAATGTGGAGGGTCAGTGAAGGAGGGAAAGACCCTCAACGAGATGGATTAACACAGTGACGGTCAGAATGGGCCTGAGTATTGAACAGATTGTGAGGGAAGCACAAGCTAGGGCAAGGCTCCGATCTATGGTTCTTCAGGTGGCTGTGAGCTGTAGTCAGTTCAACAGCAAAAAACAACAACAAATAGCAATCTATCAGCATAGAGAAGTTTCCTCCTGCCTGCAATTCTCTGTGTAGCCTGTAAGCCAAACACAAAACAGTTTTACTTCACGATGGTTTTACTGGAGAGAGGTTAGCATATAAGCTGAATGAACTCAAAGTACAAAGAAACACCTCTAGAATGGTCAAGCAGGAGAAACAGTCATAGAATACTATTGTTGTTACGTGCCATTTAGACAAAAGCACCTCATATCTAACCCTTCAGCGCACTGTCAGAAGCTGTAAATAGTACAAGAGGAGACTGCCCATATTTTACCCAAAAAGCAGTGGTGGATTTGAACTGCATGCCTTTGATTAGCAGTAGAACTCCTTAACCACAAGATCACCAGAGCTCCCCCCTTTTTAAAAAAAAAATTTTTTTATTATTATTAAATTTTATTCGTTTTAATGAACATTTACAGAGATTTTGGGTTTTCATTCATTCATTGTTGCACAGAGCTCCCTTTTAAAATACTAGCTCTTGGATGAGAAACTTTACTTTTCCAATCTAGCTCTAATCTGTGTACAAGAGAAATGACTTATGTGGCAGTAAAGGTATTATACAAAACTTATACGAGTATTAGGTATTATACAAAAGGGGATTCTGGTGCCTGGGAGGGGGATAAGGAGTTGTGCTGCCAACCTACCTAAAGGCAAGTGGTTTGGATCCACCAGCTCCCGGCTTGGAGAAAAACAGGCAATCTCCTCTTGTGTTTTCCAGCCTCTAAAAACCTCCTGAGGGTCAGCTATGAGTCAGCTCTGACTCAGCGTCACATAACTACAACATACAAAGTGAATGTTGTAGATCAAAATCGTACTGGTTTGCCCAAACAAATGTTTTACCTGTAGCTTAAGTATCTGAACATCTCTTTGGTATTGCTCAACCCTTTCTTCCTTCTCTCTCACTGCTGGTCTTCCTTTGTTTACTTTAGGATACAAAATAAAAAGAGGTAAAAAAATTGTATGCAGCTTTTCTTCTGATATACTGGTTCCATTTACCTAAAAAGACAAGGAAGGGAAAGGAAAGCATACACTAACTTCCTGGATAATAATTACATCTTTTTCTACAGAAAAACCTGTTAAATTTTCCTTTGGAATTCTGTCAATTTTCTCTGTAAAGTTCTATTTTATAAAAAAACAGCAAAACATTAAAAATAATCCACAACAAAATCTAATTTTTCCCTTTTTTTGGTTATATGGTATCACTTATAATATTCAGAAGACAAGATTAATTTAAAAATAAGCAGTACAAAAAATTTAAAATAAAATAAAACAAGCAGTAAAAAAAAAAATTGTGCTGACCCAGAAACAATATAAAAATTCAACAGGGCAGCAAACAACAAATGCTGGCAAGTTTGTGGAGAATTATACACTGCTGGTGGGAATGTAAAATGGTACAGGCACTATGGAAGGCAGTTTAGTGCTTTCTCAGTGAGTTGGAAATACAAATACCATTTGACCCAGCAATTCCACTACTGGGCACAGACCTTAAAGAAATCAGAGTGATGACTCACACAGATATATACACACCCAAGTTTATTCCTATGTTATTCACAATAGCAAAGAGATGGAAGCAACTCAGGCACCCATCAACAAACAAATGGATAGAAAAACTACAGAACATTCACATAATGGAATATTAGGTGCCACTGAAAAACAATGAACTTGGGTGTTTTTTTTTCACCTTTTTGAGAATCTTTTTAAAATTTTTTTTAAAAAATTTATTTTAATGAAAGTTTACAGAGACTTAAGATTTCAATTCATTCATTGTTGCATTTTTCTCCCTGCCCACCCCTCCCATCCAATTTACTCTTCTCTTTGAAAAGTAAAAGAAAAATTCTTTCATTGATATACAATCCCTACTCCCAAGTCTACTCCACTGTACAGCCTTCATTTTGGACTCCTGTCATGAGAATAATCATATATCCCTTTTAAACAGTTCTCTCCCTTATCTGTTTCAATGCAGTATACATTATTTATCCCATCATTCTCAGTCTTCCCTCAATCCCAATGTCAGTCCCATTTTACAACCATGGCACTATGTAAAATTTGTCCTTTTGTGACTGAGATATTTCACTCAGCAAAATGTCCTCCAGGGTCACCCATTTTGTATAATATTTCATGAGTTTCTTGTTTTTCAAAACAATGAACTTGTTAAACATTACACAACATGAGTGAGCCTGGAGGATATTATGTTGAGTGAAGTAACTCAGTCACAAAAGGATAAATACTGCATAACTCCACTATCATAAAATAGGACTGATATGTGGGGGCTAGGGAGATAATGGGAAAAGATAAAACATGAACACTGCAATACAACAGGGAGGGGAAGAACTGTCCAAAAGGAATATATGATTAGGCTTTATATGTATGACAACAATCTGGAAGAGGGAAAAATGAGATAAAAAGAATAAAGTCAATGGAAAATTCTGACAAAAAGCAATGTAATTCTGACATGACTATTAATGGTCCAGACCTTTCTAGACCGGGAATGAAGATGTGCATCACCTGACCAGGCAAAAAAAATCAGTCAGCTGAAGTGCTTGCTCAGGGCAAGGGAGTATGAAATGGATAATGGAACAAGATAGTTGTAAATACCAGTAAATACCACACAGCCATTTGCAGAAATAAGAAATATGGTTCTTATAAGTGGTTTTTTCCTTGTTTTAGTGTATCTGTCTCTGTATGTATGTGTTTCTCTGTGTCTGTCTGTGTGTCTGTGTCTGTGTCTGTGTGTGTGTGTCTGTGTCTGTCAGTGTGTCTCTGTATGTATGTGTTTTCTTCCCTCCTTTATCTTATTATTTATAATAAATTATATATAAAAAGAAAAAAATGAACGGAACAAAATTTAATTTCCCGGGTGACTAAAGAAGTTCAGTAAGATTTTCAGGCTACCACAGTCATCATTAAGTACACTAATTATCTCTGTATCAACTTAACTCATTGATGATAAGTTGAAACTGACTTATAGCTAATCCTCCAGGGGGCTTTTGAAGCTGTAAGTTGAAGGAAGGAGACTGCTCATCTTTGTTCCTTGGAGTCACTAGTGGATTTGTATCACCAGAGAGGTGCTGTCTTTGGATTAGCAGTGCAACTCCCAACAGACTACACCTCCACATGCCCCTGTCATTGTATTATTATTGTGGTTATATATCATTCCTTGGAAGGAGGAGTGGCATCCACTTACAAATAGCTTGCCTCCGGAAACCCTATGAACCTGGAGAGAGGATGAAAGGCACCCAAGCGTTGAGGACTCTCCTTCATAGGGTCACTATGAGTCGCCTGCAACTCGACGGCACTTAACAATAACATATATCATTCAGAAGGAACCTATTCCTAGCTGACCCTCCAATGGGTTTTGAGAGACTGTAAACTGCATGGCAGGAGACTGCTCATTTTATCAGCTGGAACAGCTGATGGATTTGAACTATATGCCTTTGGGTTGGTAGGACAATTTCTTACCACTAAACTATCAGAGTTCCATTACTATTATATGTTGTTGTTGTTTGATGCCGTTGAGTTGTAGACGACTCATAGCGACCCTATGAACGAACGGCCTGAGCACTGTTCGTACATAGAGTTTCTGGAGGTAAGCCATTTCGGAAGTGGATACCGCTCCTGCTTCCATACTATTATATAGTAGGAGGGAAAGTACTGATTTGCACTGTACTTTTGAATCTTCAAGCAATGAGAATTTATAATATGATTATTACCTGTTTTTAAAGTGGAAGATTCATTCTGTTGACATAAATTTCCAGTCTGAATACCCTTTTGGGGAATGGTGACCTTAAGAAGGAAAAAAAAGTATAAATGTTACCTTGCTCGAACTGTAATATTTCACTTCTTAAGACTTAGTTTCACAGAAGTCAGCTAAACTTTATTTTGACATTTTTGTGTTTTAGGTAAAAGTTTACAAAGTAAATTAGCTCCCTTCAACAATTCATACACCAATTGTTCTGTGACACTGAATGCTCTTTCCAATTTGCGTCAATACTCTCTCCAGTTCCAGTTTGTCTTCCCCATTTCCATCCCTCCAGCTTCCTAGCCCAGCCTTGCTTTCTCATTTCTTCTTTAAAACAAACAACCAGACAAGCTCTGGTGGCCTAGTGGCAAGAAATTGCACTGGAATCCCAGAGGTGAGCAGTTCAAATCCACCAGATGTTTTGCTGGACAAGGAGGAACAATCTCTTCCTGTACCAATCAGATCTGATGGTACACACACACAAAATAATTTGAAAAAAAAAATTGGGGGCACTTTGGGGGTCTAGTGGCAAGAAGGTGCACTGCAATCCTGGAGGTATGCGGTTTGAATCCACCAGATGCTCTGCTGGAGAAGGAAGGGCAATCTCCTCTTGTACCAGTCAGATCCGATTTGACGGTATACACACAAAAAATAATAAAATTAAATTAAAAAAGCATATATTTTAAAAAAAACCCACAAACAACCAATGTTGATTAATTCTATAAAATATAATTAATTTGAATGATTATATGAAACTCAATGAATGAAGAATGGTGTGAAATGCAACATATATGAACTTTATAAGCAAACCAATCTAAAACAAAAATTTATTTAAAAAACAAAACAAAAAGCCTCCCAAGCCTCGTCAAGGCAGTTCCAACTTATAGCGACCTTTACTGGGTTTCCAAGGCTGTAAATCTCAATGAGAGGAGACTGAGGAGTGCTAGTGTATTTGAACTGCCAACTTTTGGGTTAGCAGCCCAACACATTATACACTACACCATCAGAGCTCATCTTTGCTTTAAGCAAAAGGTAAATTTACATTTAAATAATCATATAAGGATGTTAAGAATAGAAGAGATAACATAGGAAAAGTAACAAATTGGATAAAGCCCAGGCTTAGTGATAAAAACAGCAAACAACCCAAGACTGCACATACAGTATGCAGGGATACATAGTAACAGCTGACAAGGGATTTTAGGAAACATCTAATGGAAACACCTAACTGTGCACTTATGTATAGTGAGACACTGTTTATAAAAATTAAAATCCATCATACATACAAAAATACCACTATATGAATGCTAAAAAAAGTTGAAAGCATATATAACACATTTTTAATAAGAGTTTATTTTGGAGTATAGGATTATAAGAAACCGTTACTTTTGAACAATGTAATTTCTGTATTCTGTATTTATTTTTATTACAGACCCATGTATTATTTTCATACTTGGTATAGATAAACAAGAAACAGCAACTACTGAAATGTGGTCTCACACTACGTCTGTATTTGCTTTCTTCTCTTATCTCAGCCACAACATCTACTCCTCTGAGCTTTGGGTTTCTAAATGGTGGTGCACCCGATGCAATCTATGGTCTTTACAATGACTTGCTATGCATCAGAGAGCTGGATAATGACTAAGGATGACAGAAGAATTGATGCCTTTGAGTTGTGGAGCTGGAGAAGAGTCTTGAACCAAATAGGTCTGTCTTGGAGAGGGTGAAACCAAGTTTCTCCTTGGAGGCTAGGATTTGAAGCATTTTGGGCATGTGGCCAGAAGGAACAGATCATTGGAGAAGGATATCATGCTTGCAAAGGTAGAGGGACAGCACAGGAAAGGAAGGCCCCAGATGAGATGGACTGCTACAGTTGGGCAATGGGGACAGGTGTGTTGGTGTCAGTGAAACTGGCTCAGGACAGGGCAGGCCTCAGAGCTATTGTACACAGGGTCGCCATGAGTCACAGGCAACTTGATGGTACATAACAACAACAACATACTACATCCTATAGTTTGTTTGTTTTTTCCAAAGGAAAGAATAAAATTATAATGTTCTCTGTAATTAAAAAATAGCTGTTGAGTACTCTGGAACTTGAGAACATGGTGGCTGTATTTTCACTTGGCTTATTTAGCAAAGTTGTTCTGATTATCAAGCGTCATTAGATTTTTTTTAAAGCCATACTCACCATGCTACAGCAAAAAATCACTTACTTTGTGTGGAGGCTCCTTATAAAAATAGGTCACTTCGCCAGTATCTGTCCCCACGAGAGCCAAGAGACTTTGAATCTTTTTTTTATCTTCTACCTCCCTGCAAGTTTCATAGAAATTAAGTACAAATTAGGTGTCAAAAATAAGCAACCTTTTGGCTCAAAGGATTTTCCTATTGAGTTATGTTTAAAACAATAAAAATTCTCAATGCTGTCTAGTCAGCACTGTAGGAGAGGAGACTGCCCATATTTCTCCCTCAGAACCACTAGCAGATTCAAACTGCCAGAGAGGTGATGCTTTTGGGTTAACAGTGCAACTTCCTATAGCCAGCAGCATACCAGTTAAAACAATGTTGTTATGTACTGTTGAGTAGCAAGCAATTAAAATTGAATACGATGTATCTAGTCCTTATAAAATGGCTCTGGGGGGTCTAGTGTTAAGAAGCTGCATTGCAATCCCAAAGGCATAGAGTTCTGATGCCTTTGAGTAGTGGTGCTGGAGAGGAGCAGTGAACATACCAAGGACTGGAAAGAGAATTAACTCCAGGTCTGTCCTTGAGAGGGTGAAACCAAGTTGTTCCTTGGAGGCAAGGATTTTGAAGCTCTGTCTCACATACTTTGGGCAGGTGGCCAGGAAGGAACAGTCCTTAGAGAAGGACATCATGCTCGGAAGGGTAGAGGGTCAGTACAGGAAAGGAAGACCCTTGAAGAGATGGACAGACACAGTGACTAGAGTATCGGGGTCAGGTGTGTAGATGGTGAAATTAGCTCAAGATAGGGCAAGGTTCAGATCTGTTGTTCATAGGCTTGCTATGAGTCATAGTCGACTCTATAGCACATAACAAATCTAATCCTTAACTCCTGTGTTCAGGAGTAAGGCAGAAGGACCAGGAAAGAATTTCTTGGCTAGTTTTAGAAGTTCTACAAGATGCTGGCTGTGCTCCTCAGATCTTCCTTTCATGATGTAAGGGCTCATTCCACCAAGTGCCAGGCCTGTTCCCTGCTGATGGCTCACAACTGAGACTCCTTTCAGAAATGCTCTCAGCTTAAGGGATCTGGCTTCCCCAAGTCTATGCCCCCCTGATCCTCAGGGCTAGCCAGGTGACAATCAGTGTCTAACACACGAGGGGGTACAAAAGCCCAGTCTCTCTGCCTAAATTTAAGACATCTCTGAGGTCTGATACAGAACCATCTTTAAGGAGATCAACAGACACTTGCTGGCAAGCTGATTATAATATAACCTGGAAAACGCAGTGTTTCATCTTGACCAGGACTGACACAAAGTCCACACAAGGGTTTTGCTTGTTCTCTTAGCTATCATACTAGACTTATTTGTATCTGATTCACTGACATAGGATTTCAAAGAACACTCCATCAGATTAAAGAACCTACATACAGTACAGCAAAGGAGGTGCAGCTGTGGTGACATGCCCAGAAGATTCACATGACCCTCTCACTTACTACACCATCCAGAAGATGTCATCCTGAGAACAGAGGAACCTTTTAGAAGTATAGCTGAGTGTGTATGAATGGTTAAATGAAAAATTAATTTGCTCTGTAATGTTCACACAAACAGCAATTTGAAAAAACAAAGGTACAGATAAAGTTGAAGGTGATACTCTTGGAGGAAAGGACTTCCCTCCTCTAGATTGTAGCAGGTACATGAAATAAAAAAACTGTTTTATGATACTATGTCCACAAAAGACAGTGTACACAGCTCCACAAAAATGTAAAATGAGGAATTACTCTGGTTCCCAGCATTTGGGGAATTTGTGTTTCTCTCTCCACAGCTTTAGGTTTTATGGCTTTACAGATTCTAAAGAGTCCTAAGGAGAAATGCATCCAGCAGAAAGCACTGTAAGAATCTATTAAAACTAAGCTACAAGTTGCCACTTCACCACTTCAAGTTCCTTGTTCCAAGATGGCAGCAGATACAAAGAGTATGTTAGTCAAGGCAGGAGTTGGCTGTTGCTAGATGCCATCAAGTTGACTATCATTCATTGTGATCCTATGAAAAAAAGAAGTGAACCTTGCCCTATCCTGCCATCCACTCTCTGTGCTGCTCAAGCCCACTGTGGCAGTCACTGTCTCAATCCACCTCACTGAAGGTTCTATCTTTCCCAGCATCATATCTCTCAAAGGACTGGCTTCTCCTGCAAAATATGTCCCAAGTAAATGAGGCAGTTTTACCGTCCTTGGCACAAAGGAGTACCCTGGTTACACTTACTTCAAGTCAGAATTGTGGTTCTTTGGTAGTCCATGGGATGTTGTTGTTGTTATGTGCCGTCGAGTCGTTTCCGACTCATAGCGACCCTATGCACAACAGCCCTAAACCCTGCTCTATCCTGCGCCAACCGCACC